GGGGGGGGGGGGGGGTTCCTACTGCGTGTGTTTGTGGTTTGTCAGGCACACCTGCAATCATCATCATCATCACCTGGTGCCTTGCCGACTGGCGTGGGCGATCATGGACCCCCACTTCACTCTGTCTTGCGCTGCAGCAATGGTGTCTGTCGTTCTTGCTGTTCCCTGCAATGTTGTCAACCTGTCCGGCATCTTTTCCCTCTGTCTTCCTCTGCCTCTCTTTCCATCAAACTTGCCTATTGTTACAATATTCTCCGATGCTTCTTTCCGCATTGTGTGTCCAATGAAATTTGCCTGATGCTTTCGATTTCGTCATAAGCTCTCGTCTGCAATTTGCTTCAACCAAGACTTCTTAATTTGTTTTTCTAGCTATCCATAGGATACGCAGAATGCGTCTTATGAACCTCAACTCTGTCGCCTCAATTTTTCTTTCCGTCTGTCTATTGATTGACCATGCATCGCACCCGTTTAATCGGATTGGCTCGATGTAACACCAGAGAGGGTTTACAGTAATACTGTAAACTCTCTGGTAACACCTACAATGCAAACGTTTATTTTTTGTTCTAATATGCTTGTTTCTTTGTTTGTATTTTGCCAGGCGTTGAGTCAAGGCAGCCAGGAGTCCCTGGACAAGCGGGCTAGTCTGACCAGGAAAAGCTACGACGCCGTCGTTTTCGATGTCCTCAGGGTGTCTCCGGACGACTTCGCCGTGAGTGATGCTGCTGCTGTTGTTGTTGTTGCTATTGTTGTGGGGGTTGTTGTTTTGATGGTGATGATGGTGGTGGTGGTGATGTTGTTGTTTTTGAGGTTGTTGTTGTTGCGATGGTGGTGTTTTTGTTGTTGTTGTGGGGGTTGCTGTTGTTGTTGTGGTGGTGGGGGTGGCTGTGAGTGTTGTTGTTTTTGTAGTGGCGTTGTTGTTGTTGTTGTTGTTGTGGTCAAGGGAGTGTTGTTGTGGTGGGTTGTCGATATTGTTCTTTTTTAAATTATATGTGATGGTGTTGATGGTGATGATGATTGTGGTGACCGCTGAAATGATGGTCATGGTTGTGGTGGTGGTGATGGTGATGGTGATTGTTGTGGTGGTGGTGGCAGTGGTAATGGCGATGATGGTGATGATATGCTGAATAACTGATTGATGAAAGTCTTGATAAATATGGTTCTTTTGGTTCTTATGATGATAATGACCGTGATGGTGATGGTGGTGGTTGTTGTTATTATTGCGGTATTGCTGACAGTGGTGAGGTCACCTTCACCCACGACCTTTAACCTTTAACCTTTAATCCCCCTTTGTTTGTCCCTCTACAGAGCCAGATCACCCTCCTAGATCTCCCGGTGTTCAAGTCCATACAGCCAGATGTAAGTCAGGAGTTGTTGTTTTTGGTTTTTTGGTTTGTTTGTTGTTGTTTTTTGGGGGGGGG